GGGGTGAGCAAGAGTGGAGATACCCTCATCCAAGGGGACTCCTTGCCCCTGGCCAGGCCTCTCCCTCAGGAGCAGACGTGCACACATCCCTCTAGCCTCTGAACTTCATCAAACCTTCCGTCAGGTGAACCAGCGAGGTGCGGCACCCACACAGCTTGCAAAGTGCTCAGAAAATCCAAAGGCAAAATGGGAGCTAAGTGGCAGACACTCCGCAGGGGAGAGGGGTGGAGGGAGACGCACATTAAGGTTCTATCAATTCTGAGTCAGCCTGCACGCCACCGGAAAGGCACATGTAATCCCCGGGGTGCGGTGTCACGGGCGCTGCCAAGCATCTGCTGGCGAGGCCCCTTGTGGCCCCGGACCAGACTCTGAGCTGGCAGGCTCAAAGCCATCATGTTGTGAACGCGTTCAGATATTCTCTAAATATCACTGATTGTACTTTGTTAAGAGAGCATCTACTATAAGTCTAGAAATAGCAATGTATAAAATCCAGGTAACCATGTAATGAAATGAATTTCCTTATAATTATACGGAGGATGTCGTCTCTGGCTGAAAAAACAAATCACACAAATAAAAGTCTGCTATACACCATCCCTGAGAAGCACATTTAAACTAAGACACACATGGGGCGCCTGGGTGGCTCTGTCGGTTAAGCGGCTGCCTCCGGCCCAGGTCATGATTCCAGGGTCCTGGGATCGAGCCCCATGTCAGGCTCCCTGCTGAGTGGGGAGCCGGCTTCTCCCTCTCCCTCTACCTGCTGCTCCCCCTGCTTGTACTCTCTCTCTCTAATAAAAAAATAAAAAATCTTAAAAAAAATAAAATAAACTAAGACACACATAACGGTTGAAAATATCAGATTCATTTAAAACGCAGCAGCGAATACTCACACGGAAGCGTGGGCGTCAGTGTCACCGCGACCCAAGGGCTGAGAGCCCAGGCCGGCTGCAGGAGGTCCCGGAGCTCTGCACCAAAGGAAGCCCGGGGTGTGGGGCCACAGCTTGTGCCCCGACCGTCAGGTCCCGAGATGCCCTGACAGACACGACACACCGAATTCTGTGAGGAGTTTGTGTGTTTTATGAAGCAGACCTGATTCTTAATTCTCCAGAAAACACGCTTACCTCTGTCGACAGAGAAATGGAAGCGAAAATGAAAAAGAACACAGGCCTTTATTGGGGGAGGGGGGGTCTCAGGATTGCAACTCGGGGAGTGCAGACTCCGGAGCGACCAGAAGACTGTCCTGCTCACCTGGGGAAAGCAAGGGGTTCTTATGACAAGGAGGGAAGGAGTCATTACGTGATTTAGACGAAGAACAGAAGGGAAAAGAACTGCTAATTTGGGGCTGACGGGCAGAGCTGCTTCTGATTACTATTGTATTGATTATTTTACTGGTGATCACAAACAAAACTATCCCTGGTATATATTAATTTACTGTCCTAATTTACTATAATTAACTTTAATTTACTCTGGCCCTGTTCGGGAGCTCATTAGTCAGAAAGGAAAATGTTGTCTGTCACTTCAAGAAATTTCCTGCCGCCCCTCACCCCCCTCTGCACCAGCTGCCCGCCTCCAGGGGGAGAAGGGGCTGTGGGAGGTCGCCCTGCACAGATGCCTCCCCGCTATGGGAAGAGGGTTGGAAACCCTATCGCCTGTTAGCTGCATTCACTGAGCACCTACTGTGTACAGAGCAGGCGTGGGTCCACCCGGAAGAGCAGGAACGTGGCCAGAACCGAACACCCTTGGCCCCTCGCCGAAGGAAACGTGCAGGCTGGCAGCTAGCCACCTGCCCCCCACACCCCGGGCTTCACCACCCTCTGCACTGCACCCCACACCCCTGGTGGTGCCAGATCCAGTGGGATGTTCTCCCTCAGGTTTCTCTGAAGCCCGAGCAGCTGCCCAACCCAGCCGCTCTCTCAGCTCTGACCCCAGCTACGGACCTTCCTACCGCCGGCCAACACATCCAGGCTCAGACTCCCGGGATGCGGGGGCCGCCCAGGGAGGCCGGGGTGCCCGAACCTGCCCCCAGGGCCGAGGACGGCCTGCACTTTCCCAGGGCTCTCTGACCACCTGCCTCGGGCCTTCTGCTCAGAGCCCTCCCCCCAGGGCCCCTTCGGACCCTCTGGCCTTGTGGGGAGCATTCCCTGTTCCGGACAGCCACCCCATCAGCCTCAAGCCCACTGGCCCCAGGCCTGTTTGGTCCAGCCCTGGGCCAGGAGGGGAGATCAGAGGTCAAATGCAAAATAAACCACCTGTGGGGTGGACAGACAGGGGAGAGCCAAGAGTTGTCCCTTTGTTCCTGAAATGTCCTGGAGCTGAGGGTTCATCTACTCAGGCCAAGGTGGCCAAGTCCTTTTCCCAAATGGCAACCTCCATGGAGTCCAACTCCCACTCAAGGCCGAGTGAGCCTCCGAGGGGAGGGTGCCAAGCCCACCCAGGTAGCAGCCCCTGGGCTGGGCGGGTCCAGGGAACGGCTTGGAGCCCCCACCCTCTCCTGATGGCCTTGAGGTGACACTTCACCCAGGAGAGGCAATGCTGCATGCCAGGGCCCCACGGCCCTCCCCTGAGAAAGCTGGAGATCAGAAGGACGGCCTTTAAGGATCCCCACATTTGCACTCAGAGCCCAGGGCCATCTCAGGCTTTCCGGGTCCCCCCTCAACCCAACCCCCGGGGCGAGGGGCAGGGGGAGGCCCAGTCAGCCTGAGGGCTCCCTCTACTCCCCTTCTCCCCAGTCAATCCGCTTCTCTCTCTGATGTAATAAAAATTACAGTTTATTCTTTTTTTTTTAAGATTTTATTTATTTATTTGAGAGAGAGAGAGAATGGAGACAGAGCACGAGAGGGAAGAGGGTCAGAGGGTCAGAGGGAGAGGCAGACTCCCCGCCGAGCAGGGAGCCCGATGTGGGACTCGATCCCGGGACTCCAGGATCATGACCTGAGCCGAAGGCAGTCGCTTAACCGACTGAGCCACCCAGGCGCCCAAAATTACAGTTTATTCTTAAAGAACATGGTCCTCCCTGATTTTTAAAGTGCATGTCCATTGTAGAAATTTGGGAGGACAAAGAAAAAGTACAAGAAACTGCAAACACCTGTAGTTCCCTGACTCAGAGTTCATTTCTAACAGCATTTCACGCCTTTCTAGCTTTTATGGAAATCTATGTTTGTGTGTGTGTGTGTTTGTTTTATTTTTATGTTTGTGTGTTTTCAAAATGAAATTGGGGCAGGGTGCCCGGGTGGCGCTGCCCACTGAGTGTCTGACTCTTGATTTAGACTCAAGGCATGATCTCAGGGTCAGGGGATCGAGCCCCGCATGGGGCTCCGCGCTCAGTGAGGGGCCTGCTGGAGAGCCTCCCTCTGCCTCTGCTCCCCCCACTCCTGCTCTCTCTTTCTCGCTCACACATGAATGAATAAACAAATAATTAATTGAAATGCAATGCAATGCAATGCAATGAAACGAAATGAAATGGGGACAATGCTGCCTGCACAGCCTGGGTCCGGCCTCCTGGTGCTGCCGATCCCAGACACCATCACTGGACACGGCCTGGCTTCAACCCAGCCCCTCGGGCTTCACACCACGTAACTCTGTGCAACATTCTTGCAGCCGATGTTGGGCCCCGTTTCTCCCCAGACCCTCGGGTGGTCCAAGCAGCGCCTCTCCAGGTCATGCCCGGCAGGTCTCTGGAGGAGTCTCCAGCCCCCTCCCCATCCAGTGGCATGCCCGGAGGCCCCCCCCGTGGACCCCCCCACTCCAAGCAGCCCCTGGAGAAGGTCTGTCTCCGTGGTCCCCAGCTACGGAGTCTGCCTTTGTCAGAACTGCTCACCCAGAGACGCCTCTTGAAACCTCACTCCCCTCTCCCACGGGGCTCGTGGGGGGGAGAGAGGCCCCCGAGAAGGGCCTTGGGTCCAAAGGAGCTGCTGTCCCTCATCCTGGCCCGAGGACGTTAGGGACACTGGCCCTGGCCTGCCCTCTGGTGAGGCTGGGGTTAGAGTCTCCCCAGGGAAGTGTCCTAATTCTGGGGTAATTCTAGAAACTGGAGGCCGGCAGCCAAAAGGAGAGGATGGGGTGCAGGTGTGGGGGCTCCTCTTGCTGGCTCCCGAGCGTGTCCGGGTCATGCGGATGGACTCAGGGGCAGGGCAAGGCAGGCCTCAGAACGAAAGCTGCCGCTCTGGAAGGCTCTGATCACGGTGTGTTTGGAAATCCCCACACAATCTAATCCCAACTGCTGGTCCCGCCGGACTTCCTGGGGCTGGGCTAGGGTTAAGGGAAGTCTCCCTGCGCTGCCCCTGCTCAGCCCTCCACAGATATCTGCCAAGTAAACAGCTGATTAGAGGGAGGATCTGTGTTGTTGGAACAGAGCAGTTAAAGAAACCAACAAATACTGAGGACATCAAAAGGGATGTGCTACCAGACGGCCGTGCCTTGCAGGGTGAGGGTCCTGAGGGGCAGGTCTGATCGCCCGCTCCGCATCACCTGCACCCTAGCAGGGCTCAGGGAGGGCTCCCTGGGGTCTGGCAGCGGGGCTCAGGCCAGGGCCCCACCCTCCTGCTGCCCGGGAGCAGGGGAAGGCCAGGCTGGCTCAGGGATATGGGCCAGACCTGCACTCCCGCCTTCCCCAGGGGCCTGTGCCTGCCTCTGTAGCCCCCACACCCCACACGTCAGGCAGGGAGTGATGGGGTGAGCGCTCACTCCTGCACGCCCAGTTGTGCCCAGTCTGGGACAAGATGCCCACGCTGAGCTCAGACGGACTGGAACAAGGGGCATCTTGCTATTTGGGGACCAGCTGGAGGCCAAGCAGGGGGCAACAGCTGGACAGGGTAGGGGGCCCTTTGTGCCCTGAGGACAGCAGGGTTGACTCGACCTTCCCACAGCGGTGGAGACCACAGCCCAGGGTGGGAGAGGGGCTGAGGAGGCGGGGGTGGGGGGTCCTTGTGGGGCACCGGATGGTCGGAGTCACAGGTGGGCAGCTCAAAAAAATGGCCCAGGAACTCCCTCAGGGTACACGGAGGATGGAGCCCACCAACCCCATCATTGCCACCCGTGGGGAGAATTACAATCACTATGCATGTGAGTACCAGAAGGCTCCCCCCCAGAGGTGACATCAGGTGTCACCTGATGGTGATTTCGCCTTTCTTACCTACACTTTGTAAATGTTCTATAATGAACACCTTGTCATGACTGCGGGGGAGAGAGGGTTTCAATTTTTAAAATCAGCCGAGGGTGGCCGGCCGGTATTGGTGAGCCTGCCCCTTCTCCTCCACACCCCTTCCAGGCAGAGCTGCCACCCTGACCCCATTCCTGATACCACCTCAGGAAAGTAACATCGAGGTGCAGCTTCTGGGGAAGGATGTGGGCGAGTAAGGATCTCGTCCCTGGTCCAGTCGGCTGTGGCCCAGCTGTGACTGCCTAGGTGTCTGCCCCAGGTCCAGCCCTGGCCAGAACTGGACTGTGAGGCCCTTCAGCGTCTCCCGTCCGGGACCTGTGGCCGCTGATGGGGCCCCCAAACACCTGCGGTCATCCTGCCCTCAGAAGCTGCCGCATCCGAAGGGCTCACAGGAGGACCGTGCGGAAGGAGGAGTTCTGGGCACTGTGGCCAAACAGACGTGTGAGGCATCATCCTGCAGCTCACACACACATTACCTAAAGCAGCCACAAAAATACCCCCAAATTTAGTAAGAAATGTGAACTGCTTATACAAATGATGTCATAATCTGAAGAAAATAAAAAGAGCATTCAGATAAATAGAAAAATGTATGGTCTTGGTCTTGTCTAGGAAGGATCAATATTAAAAACAGGATTCTTCCAGGGGCCCCTGGGTGGCTTAGTCGGTGAAGCGTCTGCCTTCAGCTGGGGTCATGATTGTGGGGTCCTGGGATTGAGCCCCTTGTAGGGCTCCCTGCTCAGCGGGGAGCCTGCCGCTCCCTCTCCCTCCGCTCCTCCCCCTGCTCGTGCGCTCTCTCTCTCTCAAATAAATAAAATCTTTTTAAAAAATGTGAGTCTTTCTAAAGTGAAACTATAAAAACAAAACGCTGTGGTGGCTCAGGACAAAAATAAACAGATGTTTGAGGAAAGAGATTTCACAAGGAAAACAACACGCTGAGCTGTGGATTCCGCCAGAAGCAGAAATAGTACGTGAGTCAAGAATTTACAATTAGTCTTACATTTTAAAACTTTAAAATTTTCTAAAACAGATAAATTATAATTAGATTAAGTTAGACAAAAGAGAACAAGACAATAACAAAGAACCAAGCAACAATCTTGGATGAGAAAAAGAAGGGGACAGAGAGCAGCCCAGGTGTGCTGAGGGGTGAGGCAGCCATTGATAAAAGTGAGATATTGGGGCACGTGGGTGGCTGAGTCGGGTAAGCGTCGGCCTTCGGCTCAGGTCATGGTCCCAGGGTCCTGGGATCGAGTCCCGCATCGGGCTCCCTGCTCAGCAGGAAGTCTGCTTCTCCCTCTCCCACTCCCCCTGCTTGTGCGCTCTCTCTGGACAATAACTAAATAAAACCTTAAAAAAAAAAGTGAGATATTGTCCACTTACCAGAGATGCACCTAACGCCTGCGGACACACAGCAGCTGAAAGGAAAAGTCTGGAAAAGGATCAAGAATATTTTAACCAAAGGGAGTTGGTGTACTGATATCAGACAAAATAGACTCTGAAATAAATTGGATGATCGAAGTGCAGAGGGTCACTGATGATAAAGTCTCAACTTAGCAAGAAGATAGATCAATTTAGAATCTGAAGGCATCCAATAAAATCACTCCCAAATATACGGTCAAGGATTTTGCTAGAACTGCAGGGTAATCGACAAGCCCCCATCATAGTGAGGGATTCCGACCCACTCCTCAATTATCGACAGCTCGAGCTGATCAAAATCGGCAAGTACAGAAGAGGGCATGCTTCCCCACTGACCACCTTGGCATGAGGGGCACCGTCAGGGAACACACGTACATCTCAGGACGCTGGAGGCATATTCACATTGTGGGTCCATTCAGAGATGGGGGACCCAGGCGGTGAATGAAGCTAGAGTGGGGTCACCAGCTGGTAAATACAGGCTTGGGGAGCGTAAGAACACGGTGCTGACCAGTGTTTTCAGCTCGATAGGAAATCACAACTGAAACCCCAAATTCCAGGAACCCAAAGAACGAAAATGAAAGCCCACACATCATGTGATGCAGCCGAAGCTGTGATCTGAGGAAATGGAGGGGATAGGAAATCCTCCAGAGAGGGAGGAAGGGGGAAATGAAGGAGCCGAGCGCCTGTCTGCAGACCGGATCCCAGGACTGTATGAAAATGGGAAGGGTACACACATGGGATATATGTGTGAGTGTTTGTACACACAGAATATTTCCAGAAAGTTAGGAGGACGTGTCCACAGCATCGCCTCTGGAGAATGAAGCGGGGGTCGCCATGAGACACACCAGCTCCTTTCATTGTTCCTTCCTGGAACATCTGAGTGGTTTTGTAAGGTTTCTGTACTACTTCCAAAATAAACAAACTTGGGGCGCCTGGGTGGCTCAGTCGTTAAGTGTCCGCCTCCGGCTCAGGTCGTGGTCCCAGGGTCCTGGGATCGAGCCCCGCATCGGGCTCCCTGCTCCGCGGGAAGCCTGCTTCTCCCTCTCCCACTCCCCCTGCTTGTGTTCCCTCTCTCGCTGTGTCTCTCTGTCAAATAAATAAATAAAATCTAAAACAAACAAACAAACAAACTTATTTCACTTTCAAGATACCTAAGTGCTTTACCTGGGTACACATTTACATCAAACTCCCCAGGGCGTCTGGTTGCATGGGGACAAAAGAGTCTCAGCCCTCAGCTGACGCTCAAGGTCCCGCACCGCGTGGGGCCCTCCTACCCTCCCTCCTGAACAGCCCCATGCCTCAGGGACTTGGCGGTCACCAGCCGCTGCCCAGGAGCCCCTGCTGAGTTGAGGGACCCTGGGCAATGCCAGCTGTGATGGGAAGGAAAGGCCGACTTGGGAGGTGGCCTCAGGGACGAGCCCCTCCTTCAGGTCCAGGGGCAGTGCCTGGGGGGCTGGGGGGGGGGCAGGCACAGAGGCCTAGGGCAGGTGGCATTTAGGTCCCAGGCTGGGTGATCATTTGTGGGGCCTCCCTCAAGAGCTTCGTTGGCCTCTGGGTGGGGGCAGGGGCTTCTGGCCTCTGTACCCCTCCATGGAGGTGCCATCTTCCTGTGAGGATGACCAGCTCTGAGCTTTCTCTGCCCACCAGACAAAGGTTAGTCCTTTGGAACATCTCCCTGCCCTGGGTGTAAGCTCCCAGGACTGTCTGCAGGCCAGATCCACACACCAGCCCCTCAGTGAGGAGGAAGCTGAAGCTTGCAGAGTTTAAACGGGTTGGTCAGTGGCGAGTGGCAACGAGGCGGGTGACCACCTCTGGGTCTGTATTAACTGAAGCTGGGCCCCGGCTGGCTAGCCTTGGAAAGCTGGGCCAGGCTCCAGGACAGCACAAAGGACAAACACCTGGACACCAGCAAAGCTTCCACACCGGTCTCCTTCAAAGACTTAAGGAGAAACTTTCACCTTAGTGATTTTTATAATAACCACCAAAACCATGTGTATGTGAGAAATGAACAAATCCCCACTTCCAAACTTCTCTTTGGGACTGACCTCACACAGGTGCACCCCTGGGACACCTGACCTCGTCCGGGATGTGTCTCCCCACCCGCCGCAGGACCCTCAGTGGGGAGAAGCTGGGAGGAGGGCCTCGTTCTGGCCAAGAGTTAACCAAAAGCAGTTTGACCTTTTAACTGTGTGCCCCCCCCCCCCGCTCCTACTCACTCCTGCCAGCAGCCCCCCTGCTCCCCCCGCCCCCGACTACCTCCAGGTGTAGTCTGGACCCCACTTGCTTTTGAGACAACTCTCAGGCTTCACACGCTCCTGTGCATTCTCAGCGGGGCACAGCTGGCTCTGCGTGTGCGTGCGTGCGGTGCGCACAGGCGAGGACCCGCGGGCTCCCCTGGTCCATGCAGGGAAGCGAACCCACCCACCCCAAAGGAGCATCTGGTCAGCTTTCCTGGAAAAACGCCCCCCGCCCCGGCTGTTTTGCTGTTTTCCTGTTTTCTAATGAAGCGCTTTTAAATAAAGATATAATAAAGAACTACCAAGAAAGTCGTAAACCTTTTCTGTGAATTCAGGGCAGTTCCCAAGACTCCAGTGACTTCCCCGAACTCGGGGTTTCCCTCCTGTATCTAGGACCTGGGTGCGTATCCCGGTTCCTCCTTCCCGCAGCCTCCTCCCCTGGCTCCGCCCTCACCGAGCGCCCGACTCTCCTCTCCGCCCGCAGCGCGCAAAGACCGGCGGCAGCAGCCGGTGGCCCGGGGCAGAGGCGCGCGCGGGGAGCCGGGGCGCAGGTGAGGGCGCGCGCGCAGGGAGTGGGCACGCAGGAAAGGGGCGCACGAGCCGGGCACGTGGCGGGGGCGTCCCGCGGTCGAAGGGCTCCGGGTACTGGGGATGGAGACCCCGGAGCGCTGGGCTGACCCTCACCCGCAGACGTGCGGCCCCGAGTGCCCCGCCAGGGTCCGTGGGCCAGGGAGCAGGGGGCAAAGGGTGCGCGCCGTGGGGGGGAGGAGAAGGGACGGAGGCCGCCGGTCGCACCGGGGACCTGCCTCTCCGCTGCGGACACACAGGCTCGGCTCTTGAGAGGGCAGGGAGGTCGCATCCCGGGCTCCCACAGACCCACACTTACACGCGTGTGCACTCACATTCGCGGACTCACACGCCCATGATGCACACACACTCACACACACACACCGGTAAAAGAGAAATGAGCCGCCTGAGGCTTCCCCGACCCGGGAAGGGGTCCTGCGCCTGGAAAGCCGGGAGAGGAGCCAGTTTCCCCAGAGTGAATTTTTTAGCGGCCCCTTTCCGTGCTCCCCTTCACATTTGGTTTGGCAGCAATCTCTAAATTCAATGCATCACCCACTGCTGTTTAATGATCTGCGGCATGGAAACCACTTGCCAGGCCTGTGGGTAGAGGAGTCAGAGCCCCTGGGAGGCCCTCCTGGCCCTGGGTTGTGACAGTGAGGGTGGGCGGCAGGTGTGCTTTTGGCCCCTCGGTCCAGGGGAGGTGGCTCCGGGGCTGGTAGTGGGGAAGAGGGTTCTCAGAGCAGGAGGCTTGTGCGCCCAGCGGGAGGCCGCCAGGCAGAGGGCTGATGGAAGTGTTTCCCCGCCCAGGCCCCAGGCCTAGAGGACTTTACTGCCCAGCTGGAGACCCCTCCCAGCCCCAGCAGCAGGGGGGTTCCCTCCACCCCAGCTCAGGTTGGGGCTCCACAGCCTTTGCAGGCTGCAGCTGTCTCCCAGAGCGCTTGGTCACCTCCCACACAGCCAGCTCAGCCTCCTGCCCCGGATTTCCATGTAAACTCTGAGCCCCCTGCCGCAGGGGAGAAAGTGGCACCAGCCCCTCTTTGGTGCTGTGGGAGTGGAGGACCCCTACGCACCCCCGGGCCGCTCCCTCAGTTTTCCCTCTTCCCAGACTGGGACAAGTTCCCGGCAGCAACACGCACTTTCCAGATCGTGTCACTGACTCCCAAGGGTGAGTAGCTCCAGAACCCATGAGTCATCCTTGGTCGGGGACCCACAAACGCCGGCTGTATCATTCCCATCCGGGTAGGCAGACGCCGGTCCTGGGGTGATAATCGGAGAGAAACCTGCACCGTCGCGTTCACTTTGCCCTCCAGCTTGCGCCCCACGTTCGGTCCCCCTGCTCCGCACAAGCTTCTGTCTTCTTGCCTGTCCCTTTCCCCGTCATGTCCTGGTCTCCCTCCCTCTGGTTTTTCTCTCCTTTGCTGTGTTGGCGGCAACATTCTTCATACGTATGTCCCCAGTATTGCACGGAACATGTAGTACAAATCTGATACTCAAATGTAACTGGGTGTCTGTATTGTGCCTGGCAAGCCCAGGGAGGAGCCTGTTTCACCAGAGTGAATTTTCTCCTAGTGAATTCCCCAAACCACCTGACTCCTGGGCTTGGTTACTCTTGAATCCAATGCTGAGCAACAGCCAGGGGTTGGGTCAGCCAGGGCCTGGGGGCAGATGGACACAGCCACCACTGGGCAGGAAGAGCTTGGCTCAGTACCGTCAGGGGCCTCCAGGACCCAGTCACTGAGGTCTGGAGGCCCAGCTGGCCTCCCCAGCAATGAGTTTTGCTGTCCAGTGGTCCAGGTCTCATGCTGTGTAAGGGCTAATATCCAGAGATGGCCAGGACTGGGCTCTGTTCGTCACAGACAAATGAATGGGCAGAGCCAGCACACCAAGGGGCAGGAGTTAGACCTCTGCTGCCTTTGGCTCTGTGCCCAGAGAGTGGCCGCCTGTGACTCAGGGCTGAAAGAGCAAAGTCCCTGGAATCACATCCAAACTGGACTCAGACTACCTCCCCACCTCCCAGTAAAAATAGGATTCCCCAGAGCTGAGAGCAGGAGTGCCGAGAGAGGTGGAACAGTGCCGTGAGCAGTGAGGGGAAAGCCCGTCTGGCTCCCTGCCCTGCCCTCTGATCTCTGGACTATTCCAAGGGGAGCCAGCTGAGCTGGAGACTGTCCTCACAGATAAGCCTGGGGTTCAGCATTGGCATCCATGCCACGGGCCCAGCTGAGATCTATGCCCTGATCCAAAGGGAGGACCCCTAGTCAATAATAAAAGCCAGGTGGAGCCCAGGACAGCTGTGGGAGCCCAGAAGGGCTCAGGGTGGCAGGTTGTGCAAGAGGATGTTGGAAGCTTCCCAATCTCTAGTCCAGATCCCCATCTCCAGTCCGGATCCCCAATCTCTAACTCTAGTCCAGATCCTCCATCTCCAGTCCGGATCCCCAATCTCTAACTCTAGTCCAGATCCCCATCTCTAGTCCAGA